ACTGCCCTGGCCTGCAAACTCTCCAGATATGAACCCAATTGAAAATCTGTGGGCGGAAGTAACTCACAGAATTAATAGCTATGGTCCTCGGCCGGTAAATAGTGATGAACTGCGACAGGCAAATATCACTGCGTGGAATGATATCCCCACCCAAACTCTAAAAAAACGTGTCACAGGATATGCCATGTAGGATGAGGGCGCTGCAAGCGGCTGCTGGAGGTCATACCCGCAATTACTGACTTTTCATGATTTACTGTAGTGAGTTCTTTGACTGTGTAACATATCACTGTCCGGAGGCTATCATTTTCTTTAATATTTTATCTTAAAGTTTATACTGACATCAAAGTGTTGATATGGTTTTCTGGGGGTGTTCCTTTCTTTTGAATGGCATATCTTATGTCAGATTTAATATTATTGACCAAAATATCTCACAACAGAAGACTGGATGTTATTATCACTCAGTGACATACTTTTTTAATGACTCAAGCCAAAAGAAAATTATTCAGCACTCAAAAATAACAATGATAAAAAATATTCCATATTAAGTGGTAACCCTGTATGTAGGCCCTACTAGTAGGCCTAGCTATTGTCTATATAAAAATCTCAGCTTTGTGATTTTTGTCTTCCAATGTATTTTTGTTTTACACTATAAGCGTAAAACCTCAACCTTTGAGTTGCCTGTCTAATTTTCAGAAACTGATAAATTATTAATCATTACCAGTCCCGCAAGTAACGGTATTTTACACCCAATATGTGTACACTACTTGTTTTTCTTGGCATAGTCTTTGATATCAAAAAACAATACATTTTCGTGTTTTGTATCTGCAGATAATATTATATAAACGTGTTTTAAATAGTCTGTGCCTCTGTAGGTAGTTTGTAGGAAGGTCTCAGCATTGTTTACATTGCCTAACTATTACACATGCGCAGATATTGACATAAAATGTTTCCGGTTTTAGAGATTCCCGATCACTTATCGTTTTTCAACATTACGCACTCATTACACCGACATAGTCTATGACTTAAACTCAAAATAACGAAAAATACGCATTTTTAATTCATAAACATAACAGAAAAATTGACATGTTTTTAAAAAGCACAGACTGTCAAATTTTAGCATTACTCTCCCAAAAACAGCCTCGTTTGAAAACCTGGCTCTTACCCTGTATTTGAATTGTGAGTGAATATTGACGACCTCTGCTTGGAGTGTGTTCCATAGAGACCAAACAAAGATGGCTGCTGGGATGGAGGACGTAAGTGTTGATGTCAAATGATTATTACCATTATATACAATCCTTGTGTTAACCGCAGTTTAAATTGATTCATTTCTTACATGCGTGGAATAATAATTTAAACCTAACATTTATCAAGTGTTTTATGTTTATAATGATTGGAAACCATGAATTTTAATGAATGGCCGTGTTAAAAACTTTCGGTAGTGTATTATTATAAACAACACAATTGCAATAAACAATTTAGGGACGCGAAATATAACAGTATGATACCAAATTGAAATCAAATTTGCATATTGCATTGAATTCTACAATATTTTGTTTAATTTATTGTTATATAATATATATCCAAATCGTGTGTTGTTTCATTCTAAAATGCATACTGGGCACATTTCCACATTTTTGTATTGTAGATGGATCTTTTTACCCAGGAGCTAATGAAAGGTATTATGGACAAAGCAACAGATCACCATGATGAAGCAGCAAAGATAAAAACAGCAGTGAATGTCACAGAAAGTCGTAGTCAAACATCAATTACACTTGCTGAACAACTAGAAGAGAGGCTGAAAAAATTGGATACAGATCCTTTTGATGAAGACGAGGTATGTATACTTAATGTACAGTTATGTTTTATATTACCGATTTTTCTTCACAGTTAATAATAATGGTATGAGTTATTGTGTTAATTTTGTAGTATATTTAATCAAATATTTGAGGTGCTTTGCAGCACATACTGTATATGTGGCCTGGTAGCTTATGTTTTTCATAAAGGATTTGAGCATTGATATGTTGAGAATAGTTCTTAAACATATCATCATATAGTGATGTAGTTTTAGTTGACATGACAGATTACATAAGAACATTTTATCTATCAATCTATATTTATTGGTATATCTCATGACTAATTTTATTTCAGGCTGAACTACGTTTTCTGCACTCTAAGCCAACATGTTTTGTGTTGATTGGAAAACCAGGGGCAGGGAAAACAGCATTAGGGAGAAGATTGGCAGCAGAATGGAAGTGTGAATTTGTACATGGTAAGTTTTTATCTTTTCCATTTGCACAAATTAAAAATTTTTATATATAGATGTTCATACATAGATTTTCTCATGCTTATTGTCAGGAAACAATATGTTTTTAAAAATGTTTGATGAAAAGCTTATAGTTTTGGTAGTTCTTTTTAGATATTAAAGTTATTCTTCTTTTATTCCATGCAGCTACAGATATCATAATGCAAGCCATAGAAATGCAAACTGAAAGAGGAAATATAGTGTCTGAAATTTTACTGAGAGGAGAAGCAATACCAGAGGAGATTGTTGCCAAAATGATTGAAGAAAAAATCAATTCCATGGAAGTGGCACACCATGGTTTGTTATTAATTATTGATTAAAATTCCTTTGTGCAGAACAGAAATGCCCCATTGTGAGCCCTCCCTTCTTAAAAGGATTTATCAGATACATGTACACATGTTTATTTCTCTTTCAAATTATTTTCACATGCTTACAGGAGGTTACTTAGTAGTATATTGAAATGTTCTTACCATGTGCAAATTTCAGATAGCACAGCTTTTGCTATGAATTTGAAACTAAACTCAAACAAAAATATTTTATGTGGGCTTTTGCACATTTTATAAGTTAAGATTTCTTTAATACAGATCAAAATAAATATTAATAAATTTTCTCTTACCTATTTTTTGAAATTGAATTCTTCTCTACCTTTATTACTCATGTTTCATGTATAATATGATCATGCTCAACACGTTTTCCTTTAAATTTCAGGGTATATTTTAGATGGGTTTCCATCCCTTTCGGAAGAATACATGAGTTTAAAGGATCAACTTGAATTGGTCAGAAACTGGAAAATGAAACCAGACTTTATTATCAACCTAAAAATGCCTGACAAAGATTTAGAGCGGAGACGTTTGGGTCAGCGTGTAGATCCTGTCACAGGGGAAATCTACACGCAGGAAATGTATGCCCCTGACAAACCAAAAGAGGTACAGTTCATTGATAAGGCTTCACTCTTTAACAATAAGAAGGAAATGTATATTTAAGTCCCATGAAAAATTCTGTGAAATAGAAGATGGTCATGGGTATTTTATTATTATTATTATTATATGAATATACATATTTTTGGTGACAACTTAGTCTGTGTTTATTTATTCAAATTGCTGTCTCTTTTGCAAGATCATTTTGATTGTGCCATTTTAAATACTTGCTGAAAAGAGAAAATATGTGAATTAAATGAGCCAATTAATAATTGATGCCCACTGGAATCAACCATGGTTAAGAATGTTTTTTAAGTTAAAATAACAATCATGTCAACTTACAAAACATGAAAATATTAATATTAAAATAATTGCAGGAAAAGAAAGAAGAAGGCGAGGAAGAAGAAGAGGAGGAGGCAGAAGAGGAAGAGGAAGAAACAGCAGAAGGGGTAAGTATATATGCTCTGTTATTTGAATCTAGATTAAAATGTGGTCCCTTACACATTATTTCTGGATAAGTATCAAACATGTATGAGTAATATTATTATTAGAGATAACTTACTAGTTTAGAAAAAATATTTCTATATCCTTTAGCCAATATTGATGTATTTGTTTTAATGTCTTATGCATGGTTTCACAGCTAAACCAAATACTGGTAGACTTGTGTCCTGTTAAACATTTCTCAAATCATTTAAAAGCTTATGGAAGAATATTTGTATGTAAGTAAAAGAAGGCTGGAGCAGTTTGAACCAGAGTTCTGTGGTGGTCCACCCAGTGCATGTTTTTGAAATGGGGTTTTTGTTGGTTTGTTTTGGCAGCCTGTGTACTTTTGTACTTTCCCCCTTTTGCAATTGTAAACCAATACCATTTGTTGGATTTCACTGTTATAACTCATTGCTTGGTATGTCTTCTTTAGAGTATATTTCTCATCTGTTCAAATGTTGCATAAAATATTTGCATTCTTGCATGTTGTGCCCTTTTTTCTGATGTTGTGGCTTTCCCCCCTGAATTATTTAATGACATACCTGTATTTTGAATCAAATGTGTGAAATTATGCTTCCTCACACAGTTGTGAAGCAACTCATTCATGTAAATGCTGCATATTATATTGGCCATATTAAATTTTCAGAATTATAAAACTTGTCATGGGTCTGCTTAGAAATGGGCTTAATATAAATCAGTTGTGGACCCAGGGAGCACAGTGAACCACATGCTTCCTCCACTTCCCTCAGCTTCAGAGCTACTCACTTCACCTACTCTGAAAACAGAATAATGAGTCAAACAAGACACAGCTGGGCAATATACCATCCCTGTGGCCTATATATTACAAAAAAGTACTCATGTTCTTTTACTATTTACCAAGCAGTATCAATGTGCCCCCCTCCTTAGCAAAATCTTGGATCTTCCGGTGCTTATTTGTATGTGCAATTCTACCATAGAAATGCACCAACTTTTTT